AATCTTGGAGTACCATATCTTAGTATTGAGAGTACTAATGTATTTTGCTAACGATACTCAACCTAATATAGAATTTGCTATAAATTTATTAGTAAGATATAATTCTTCACCTAGAAAATATAATGGGTTGGAGTAAAACATATATGTACTATAAATTTGAGTGTGAGTTTATTCAAATGTTTCAAAAATCAAATCTAAAAGGTTATGTAGATGCATGTTTTATTGTTACATCTTCGTAATGATTTACTAGCAATTCGATCCAATTTGACCTGCACATACGAGTTAAGTAAAAAAAAAATTGATAACTCAACCTAAAGATGACAATTAAACCCATATTCGCGAGGACTCATCCATCTCTACCTTGAGTTTGATAGGAGAAAAATCGAGTTAACAGAAGGTGGAGGCAAGTTCGGGTTTTTTCTGCCATAAAAAGTCAGGGCATGGGTAATGTAATCCTTACCCCGACCTCATCCATATCTCTGTCCCAACTTTATATTTAACTTTAAATCTTAAAATATTAATATTTTTAAAGTATTTTCTTTTTTTTTCTCCATTATATATAAGGTCATTTTTTTATATTTTATCATTTTTACTTTTCTTTTACCCATTTTTTCATTCTTTTGTCTTTTTTAATTTTTTATATCAATTAGTTCATTAGATTATTATTTTCCTCTTACCTTTCACTTATTCACATTTTTTTAATCTCTTCAATCAACTTGTTTTTTTTTATCTTTTCAACCAATTTGATGAACACCAAGTGGTAGCCTTTGACCATTAATGTTTGGAGAGCCATCTTATTATTCTTATTTATCATATATCAAATTTTATCTTAATAAAATAATTGTATTTTGAAGGATTAAAAAATAATAATAATTAAAACTTTTATTACTTTGAACTAACTAAATAAAAATTAACTTATTAAATATTTTTTTATAAATTATATATTTCATATTTTTAAATAACAACTTAAAAAATAATTAACTTATATATGTAATCAAATGTTTGAATACAATATAATAATAATAATAATAATGTTAAAAATATTATATATTCGTATAGAGAAAAAATGATTAAAGTTTTCTTTTACATACATATTTTAATATAAATATAATAAATTAAAGTATATATTTAACTAATAATAATAATTACAAATTATAAATATTTATTTATGTATAAAAAATATCAAAATTAATTTATTATAATTTGTTTTTAGAAATAATGTAGATTGAGGACAAAAAAACTCGAAACTCAATATAGACAATGATGAAGACTTAATTTCTAACCCCGACCGTAATCATGAATGAGGACGAGACGATTAAAAAAGTGTAGGATAGGGGTTGAGGAGGCAAAACCCACCCTTATCTTACCCCGCATCATTGATATGCTTGGCTCAACCTAACATATCTTTTAAAGTTCATAATTTGTAACCTAATTTGTCTTACGTTAGGCTAACAAGTTTACATGTCAAATTTGGCCTGATTGAAATTAAAAAAATATATTAAGAAGTTTATACCAAAACAATTAATTAAACAAAATTTAAATAAAAGAAATAAAAAATATTTTAAAAATTTAAAATACATTAATATAATTAGTTTTTATTTAAGATATAATTATTTAATATATAAATTATAAAAGAATAGATCCATTCAACATCAAAATAAGAGTTAAAAACTAACTTTTTATTAACTTCATTCTTATTTTAGTAATTTATTGATAAAAATAATAATTATTTTATAAAATGGGTTGACCCATAAGCCTACGGACTAACTTGGTCATTATGCCCAAACACAAATCACCTTCCTTAACTTAGAACGATGATAGTTTGTAGATAATCGATAAAGAGGCATGCTTACGAAAACCCTAATTTGAGAAAAGAGAAGAAAAAACACAAAGGAATCGTAGATTATTGTCCTGAACCAAAGAACCGAAAGGAATGCACTCTTTTATATGACTCTTGTCCCTTTCTTCCTGAAAACACTGAAGTAGAAAAATTTCGAAAAGAAAGCAAAACAAGAGAAAAGAAAATTTAGTATGAGCAAACGTTTTTGTTAAGATATATATAAATATATTTTGGTATTGTATTTTAGGTAAACATATTTTTAGTTTATAATTAGCTTCCTAAATATATGTCTGATATTATTTATTACCTAATTAGTTTTCTAAGATTATGTCTTGTACTATTACAATTCTTCTTCTTCGTTCCCCTTTATCTATCTTTTTTTTTTCTTCTTCTCACCGTCATGACAGACAACAAGATTTCTTTCCATACGGCTTTTGCGGTTTCTAATATACGGAACCATATTTTCATCACTCTTGAAATGGAGAATGTACAATACTCTACATGGGCGAAACTTTTTAAAATTACCACACGTTTTCGTAAGGTCCTTCATCACATTATTCCTCCTGCCAATGGGAAAGAGAAGGTACTTGTGACTGATGATGAAAAGGAATTATGGTCAACTCTTGATGCTAAGGTTCTTTCCTGGCTTTATGCAACCATCTCCAATGACTTGTTGCATACAATTATTGAACCCAATGCCATAACCATGGATGCTTGGAATAGGTTAAGAGATATTTTCAAAGATAACAAATATTCTCGTGTGGTAACTCTTGAGTCTGAATTCTCCACTACTAAGATGGATAATTTTTCGAATGTTTCGGCATATTGTCAACGTCTCAAGTCCCTTGCTGATCAGTTGAAAAATGTTAGAGCACCAGTGTTGGAGAGTTGTCTCGTCATTCAACTTGTTCCAGATCTCACAAGTGTATATTGCGGAGTAGGGACGTTAATTCGGCAAAGTGATCCCCTACCTCCGTTTTATTAGGCTCGATTGATGCTCACACTTGAGGAAGCCGGATTGGCAAAGGAGGTTGTCACGGGATCAGAGTCGATAATGGTGGCTGCCTCTCAATCCGTTTATGACTCAAATTCCTTACATTCGGACCAGTTACACCACCAGCAGCACCATGGGAAGCAGTCTAGATATTGCAAGAATTTTGGGAAAAAATCTGGTGGCAGTGGTCGCGGGTCTGGCGATGGCAAATCCGGTCGTACAAGGGTGGCAGTGGTGGTCCACAACAACAACCATAGTGGGGGGTCTTTACCTTGGCCGAATTACCCACCTTGGGGTTGGATGCCTCAATGGGCTCCTCCATGCCCATATCCAAACCAGGGGTGGGCACGAGGTCCAGCAACACAAAGACAGCAACAACAGCTCGGTGTTCTTGGGTCACGCCCACAACAGGCTTACATGGCCTCTCAGAATGGGCAGTCCATTTCTGATGTTCCTACAAATATTGAAGCGGTGATGCATACTATATCTTGAGTCCCCCTGATCCATCATGGTACATGGACACCGAAGCTACCTCTCACATGACATCTTCTAATGTTCGTCTTGTAGATAATGGGAAAACTCAGTAGGTTGGCATTGATTGTGGTGAAACTTTTAGCCCGGTAATGAAACCGACTACGATTCGCGTCGTTCTTTCTATTCCTCTTTCAAAGGCATGACTCATACATCAGTTGGATGTCAAAAATGTTTTTCTTCATGGTGAGCTACAAGAAACAATTTATATGCATCAACCATTGGGGTATCGTGACCGTACTCATCCTGATTATGTGTGTCATTTGCGTAAGTCATTATATGGGCTTAAACAAACACCTCGTGCTTGGTATAAGCGATTTGCTTATTATATCGTGTCTCTTGGTTTCTCAAATAACAAATGTGATCACTCATTATTTATTTATCGAAAGGGTTCGCACATGACTTACATTTTGCTCTATGTTGATGATATTATTCTTACTACCTTGTCTCATGCTCTCCGATTATATATTATGAACCTTCTGAGCTTGGAATTTGCTATGAAGGATCTTAGTCTTTTGAACTATTTTCTTGGCGTCGCAGTGACCCGACATAAAGTTGGTATGTTCCTTTCACAGCGCAAATATGCCAAGGCAATTATTGACCGGGCCAGTATGTCTTCCTGCAAGTCATCTCCAACACTGATTGACATCAATGCTAAGGTGGGTACTACTTCTAGTGCACCTTATGAGGATCTCACTCTTTATAGGAGTCTTGTTGGGGCTCTACAATATCTCACTTTCACCAGGTCGAATATCTCTTATGCAGTGCAACAGGTGTGCTTATATATGCATGATCCGATGGTGGACAATATGCAAGCTCTCAAACGCGTTATCTAGTATTTACAAGGTACACTTGATCTTGGTCTTCATCTCAATTCATCTTCGACCACATCTCTTGTTTCTTATACTGATGTTGATTGGGGTGAGTACTCTAATACGAGACGTTCTACCTCGGGTTACTGTGTATTTTTGGATGACAACTTGGTGTCATAGTCCTCCAAGCATCAATCTACACTCTCTCGGTCTAGTGTAGAGGCCGAGTATAGGGGTGTTGCTAATGTGATTTCTGAGTCGTGTTGGCTTTGAAATTTGTTATTGGAATTGCATTGTCCGGTTATTAAGGCTACTCTGGTGTATTATGACAATATTAGTGTTATCTATTTGTCGGGCAACCCAGTGCAACATCAATATACCAAACATATTGAGATGGACATATATTTTGTACAGGAAAATGTTGCACATGATCAGGTTTGAGTTCTTCATGTGCCTTCACGATATCAGATTGCAGTCATCTTTATTAAGGGACTTTCTGCGTGTCTTGTTTGATGATTTTAGGAACAGTCTCAATGTCGTCATCCTTTTGCTTTGACTGTGGGGTGTATTAAGATATATGTAAATATATTTTGTTATTGTATTTTAGGTTAGCATATATTTAATTTATAATTAGTTTCATAAATATATATCCTATTATTTATTAACTAATTAGTTTCTTAAAATTATAGCTTATACATTGTATTTATTTATTCTAAGTCGAGATCAATTGAGTAGAATATTCTTTTAGTTTTATCCAAAAACAGAGAATAAAAGAAGAGATTGAGATTTTGTGGAGTGAGAAATTGGTTCTTCAAAATCTTTTCTAGGGCTTTTTTTCTTTTGTTCGGTGGAGGGTTCTTTTCTCTATGGCGATTGTGCGTGCCTGTTGTTTCATTTCGTGAGGGAACCCTGAAGTAATACCGAGTGCCACCTTTTTTAGCATCACCCCTTTTACAACACTGCAGGAATAGGAAACGACACCACTTTGGCGGGCGTCGATTTCCGATGAGCAAGACTCAAAGCGCGCAAGGCTCATTGGGCGGGGTTGCAGTACTTGGACCTGGTGATCCAAGGGTGTGATGATGATGATGGGTGGCCAGAAGTGGTGAGTGGAGACTTTTCTCTCTTCGCCGAGTAGTAACATTTTACCGTTCCCCACACGGCGATCCTAAATGATGTTACAAAATATTACTACTTTGTTTGTCCTTTAATATTAATGTTCTCAATGTATTTATTCTTACTATGAAAGTGAGACATTTTCTTCTTAGACAATAGATATTTAAATGTATTTTTGGAGTTTATAATTAATAACTCATTACATGTCCAATTTATTAGGTTAATAGAGTGGGTTATTTGGAATATATATATATATATATATATATATATATATATATATATATATATATATATATATATATATATATAAAATAATAATATTTTTATTTTATTTAAAAAATAATTATTATTCTATAAAACGAATAAGTTTATGAATTAATCTAACTTAAATTTATATAAATCTATATAAATCATAATTTAAGTAGATTTGATAAAAAATAGGTCTGATTTAATTGAAAATTTTTTTGTCTATTTTATTTTATGATTACATGACACTACATTTTCATTGAGATCTATGACATAAATCATTAAATAAAATAAAAAATAAATTTTAGAATTATATAAAGCTAGTTGTGAATGTATTTGGTTAAAATTAATAATTCAATATATTTATAAAAAAGATATCAATAATTATATATATATATATATATATATATATATATATTGTTAGAATCGCGCTAATGGAATGTTCGCGTGGTCGGACAAAAACCAAGAGGGGGTGAATTGGTTTCTTAATAAAAATTAGGTTTTCAAAATTTTCCCCAAATTTTACCGATTAAAAACTGCGTAAATGTAAATAGAGAAGAGTAGAGAAGATTACACAAGTAGGTTTATACTGGTTCGGATCAAAAGACCCTACGTCCGAGTTGCTAATCACTCAAAAGAGGATTAACGTTGTCACTAAGAACAAATTGTTACAAACAGATTACAAATGAACGAGATAAAGATCGAATACACCTCTCTTGAAATCCACAAGAGATGATGAACAGACTTTCCCCGGAGACGGCACGAAGACACAATCCACTAAGAACTCCACTTAGTGATTCTTATCGCTTCTAGCCCACACCAGGTTCGAAAGCCCCAAGAGATGAAGAACAGACTTTCCCCGGAGACTGACACAGCACACAATCCACTAAGAACTCCACTTAGTGATTCTTATCGCTTCTAGCCCACACCAGGTTCAGAAAGCCCCTTTCCTTGCAACAAACAGTTCTCCGGCACTCACAACACTTAACTTTTGTATGGAAAGAGTTGTTCTTTTTTTTTAGTGCCAAAGCAGAGTTTAAGTAGGGAAATTAGGGTTTAGGAATTGGGGATTTCGAAACTAGGGTTCTTGGTAATTGGATTTTCGAAAATAGGGTTTGTTTGATGTTTAAAATTAGAAACAGATCGAAATAATCGATTATTTGGAGTAATAATCGATTAAAACAGAGCCAAATACGTCGAACCCAATCCTCTCGGTTTAATCGATTATTTGATGAAATAATCGATTATCTCAGTACTGAATCGTACGGAATAATCGATTATTTTGTTGTTTAATCGATTAAAGCAGTGAGTTTTAGACGTAAAATGGTTTTCTCACTGTTTTAATCGATTATATACTTATTTAATCGATTAAAGCCGAGCTCTGAATGATAAATTTGAGCATTTTGAAGCATCTAAGTTACGGACTATGTACCGGCTATCTTAGACTCTAAAATTACAGACTCAATCAAGCTAAAACAGAGTTATTACAATACAGAAATCATCAATATTCAATCTTCAATACTCTAAGTCTTTAAGCTCTTGGATCATCATCAAAATCAACATTCTTCATGATCATTATTTGCAACATCAAGTCCTTGAATGTTCAACAATCTCCCCCTTTTTGATGATGATCAAAATTATCTTTTAAAGCCCTTGTAATAACCTGTTTTATCTGTCATACTAACAAACACATCAAACATACCAGATAATATTTAAATGCAATTCATAATGCAATTCATAAGAGGCTTTAAATATTTCTCCCCCTATTTTGATTATAATCAAAAAGAACTCTGCAATAACAATCATAAGAGCTCCCCCTCAAAATATGCATAAGTTGGAGATAACTCCCCCTCAATCAAAGCATTTAAAGAAACAAATTTCATTTCATAAAGAAACGTCATTACAGACAAAGAGATATATAACATTTCAATCATGTAAAAGCTGTTTATTTAAGCAGAATTTAGGCAATGTCTAATATTCCTAAGTCTCTTCTAAGATCATAGAATCTATCCTTGGGTAGAGGCTTAGTAAAAATATCTGCTAATTGACGTTTGGTATCTACATACTCTATTTTACAGTTTCCTTTGCTGATATGATCTCTTAAAAAGTGATGTCTTATTTCTATATGTTTAGTCCTAGAGTGCATTACTGGATTCTTAGTTAAGTTAATTGCACTCGTATTATCACACATCAAGGGTATGTCATTTAAAAAGATATTATAATCTTCTAACTCGTTGTTTCATCCACGTAGTTTGAGCACAACAACTACCAGCTGCAATATATTCAGCTTCAGTGGTAGATAAAGCAACGCATGCCTGTTTCTTAGAATGCCAAGATATTAAGGATGAACCTAACAAATGACATGTCCCACTAGTGCTTTTCCTATCAATTTTACATCCACCATAATCAGCATCAGAATATCCTAATAAACTAATACAAGCATCGATCGGATACCACAAGCCAAATCCAAGTAGTTCCTTTTAAGTATTTTAAAATATGTTTTACCTGCAATTAGGTGAGATTCTTTAGGACAAGCCCGAAATCTAGCACAAACACGGACATGAATGCATAATATCGGGTCTACTTGCAGTTAAGTATAATAGTGATCCTATCATACCTCTATACATAGTTTGATTAACTTCCAAACCCGATTCATCCTTGTCTAGATAGCATGAAGTTCCCATGGGTGTGTTAGCTTCCTTTGAGGTGTCCATACCAAACTTTTTGAGAATCTCCTTGCAGTATTTAGTTTGAAAGATGAAAGTGCCATCTTTAAGTTGCTTGATTTGAAGTCCAAGGAAGAATGTCAATTCTCCCATCATAGACATTTCAAACTCTCCCTGCATAATCTTAGCAAATTCTACACACAGCGAATTATCATTTGATCCAAAAATAATATCATCAACATATACCTGGACCAATAAGATATGTTCTTTAACTTTCTTAATAAACAGTGTAGAATCAATTCTTCCTCTTGAAAAATCATTTGCAGTTAGGAAACTACTTAATCTTTCATACCAAGATCTAGGAGCTTGTTTTAACCCATATAATGCTTTCTTTAATTTGTAAATATGATTAGGATTATTAAAATTTTCAAATCCAGGGGGTTGCTCTACATATACTTCTTCTTTGATAAAACCATTTAAAAATGCACTTTTAACATCCATTTGATATAATTTAAATTTCATCATAGATGCATAGGCAAGAAGTAGGCGTATAGTCTCTAACCTGACAACAGAAGCATAAATTTCATCATAATCTATACCTTCCTCCTGACAATAGCCTTTTGCAACAAGTCTGGCTTTATTCTTTGTTATATTACCATCTTCATCAAGCTTATTTCTAAATACCCATTTAGTTCCAATGACTTGATGTGACTCTTCTCTTGGAATTAATTCCCGGACTTGATTCCTTTCAAATTTGTTAAGTTCTTCTTGCATGGCTATGCACCATTGATCATCTTTAAGTGCTTCCTCAATGTTTTTAGGTTCAATCTGTGACACAAAAGCAACAGACATACAGAAATTTGTCATATTTCTAGTTCTTACCCCTTTTGAGATATCACCTATGATATTGTCCATTGAGAGTCCTCTAGGTGATTGCCATTCCTTTGCTAATTGAGGAGTTTGAGAAGGCTCATTATCTTCTAAATACAGTTCATCAAGAGCCTCCCTTATATATTCATCATCACCTGCAAGTCTTTTATTTGACTCAAGAGGATTTCCCCCAAGGTCTACAATCTCATCAAAGGTAACATGAATAGATTCTTCAATATTTAACGTTCTCCTATTAAACACCCTATAAGCCTTGCTAGTTAATGAATAACCTAAGAAAATGCCCTCATCAATCGATTGAAATACTGCAAAACTTTCTTATAAAACTTTTCAAGTTATTTTAACTGATAAAAATAAGTTTTAATCGATTAAAACGTTGTGTAGAAAATTTCTAAGTTGTTTTAATCGATTGAAACGAGATTTAATCGATTAAAATAGTTCTGATCGGTCATAACTAAATTCTGATCGATCATAACTGATTCTGATCAGTTATAACTGGATTCTGATCGATCATCCTGACCCTTTAAGTGATTTTAATCGATTGAAACGTGTTTTAATCGATTGAAAAAATTCTGATCGCTTATAATTAAAATCTGATCGATCACATTTGATTCTGATCGGTCATAATTGGATTCTGATCGATCATCCTGACCCTTTAAGTGATTTTAATCGATTGAAAGTGTTTTAATCGATTGAAAAAATTTTGATCGCTTATAATTAAAATCTGATCGATCACATTTGATTATGATCGGTCATATTTGTATTCTGATCAATCATAATGAGTTCTAAATGGTTTTAATCGATTAAAAACAAGTTGTATCAATTAAAATACTGTAAAAACACTTCTTTGAACATTCTAAGTGATTTTAATCGGTTCTTTCACAACTATATCAGTTAAAAACATGTTTAAGAAAGCTTTTGTAAAAATACTTTGTTTTTAGTTGTTTAAAAACGATTTTAGAGGCAATTCGCAAAATCTTTAGGTGAAGAACCTTCATGCAATAGAAAAGATAAAATGATTTTACCTAAGCATTCAGTTTAAAACATACTAAATGATCCATTTTCTTTGAATAAATACAAGATACAAATAGTTCATTTAACTATAGGAACCCAAATATATTTTCCTTTAGGAACTCCAAAATGCTTAATTTTACATCTATTTGAAGTATGACCATGTTTCATACAATAAAAGCATGCATTAGATGTAATTTTAGAATATGATACATTTCTAACTATTGAAGTTTTGGTTCCTTTTTCAACCCATACTCTTCTATTTTTACTTTTAAGCTTTTTCAAAGGAACATGACAATTTTCTTTAATTTGAACACTATCCTTATTCTTATAACTATCACTTAATTCCTTTTTAGCTTTATCAAGCAAATGTCTAAGTAAATCAATATCATGTTCATACTCTTTACATGATGCACATGCTATAGTCTTATCATCATTCTCATCTATGCATACAATTTTCGTTTCTAAGGTTTCCTTTTCCTCTAAACATGAAATTTTCGTTTTTAAGGACTCCTTTTCTTCTAAACATGTGATTTTCATTTTTAAGGACTCTACCTCCATTTTGGAACTACTTAAACTCTTTTTCACAGCTTTGTATTTATTGTTCAAGTCCTTAAAAGCACTAAACAATTCATTATATGCATTTTGTAATTCATCAACATCATTTTCATCATCACTTGAGGATGAGTCTGAATCACTAATCTCAAAGTCGGAAGAAATGATGTCATTTGCCAACAAGCAAATGTTAGCTTCTATTTCGAGTCGCTTGATTCCGAAATTGAGTCACTATCATCGGTTCCTTCATAAGTTACTCTTAGTTTTGCCCACATCTCTTGAGCACTCTTACAAGTGGATATTCTGTAAAACTCATCAAGGGTTAAAGCAGATGAAATTATATTTCTAGCCCTAACATCAAATTGTGCTTTTCGACTTTCTTCTACAGACCATCTAGAAAAAGGTTTAGGAACGTCAACACCGTTCTCAGTAATTTTAGGAACAAATGGACCGTTTAAAATTGCGTCCCAAACGCCTCTATCAACAGACTCTAAAAATATTTGCATACGTACCTTCCAGAAAGGATAATTTTGACCCGCAAAAAGTGGGGGTCTGTTGATAGATGCACCTTCGGCAAAAGTTTGATTTTGTCCGGCCATTTTCGAAAATTTGAATGACTATCAAAGCAAGCTCGATACCACTTGTTAGAATCGCGCAGCTGAATGTTCGCGTGGTCTGGACAAAAACCAAGAGGGGGTGAATTGGTTTCTTAATAAAAATTAGGTTTTCAAAATTTTTCCCAAATTTTACCGATTAAAAACTGCGTAAATGTAAATAGAGAAGAGTAGAGAAGATTACACAGTAGGTTTATACTGGTTCGGATCAAAAGACCCTACGTCCAGTTGCTAATCACTCAAAAGAGGATTAACGCTGTCACTAAGAACAAATTGTTACAAACAGATTACAAATGAACAGATAAAGATCAGAATACACCTCTCTTGAAATCCACAAGAGATGATGAACAACTTTCCCCGAGAGACGACACAAGACACAATCCACTAAGAACTCCACTTAGTGATTCTTATCGCTTCTAGCCCACACCAGGTTCGAAAGCCCCAAGAGATGAAGAACGACTTTCCCCGCAGACGACGACACAGACACAATCCACTAAGAACTCCACTTAGTGATTCTTATCGCTTCTAGCCCACACCAGGTTCGAAAGCCCCATTTCCTTGCAACAAACAGCTTCTCCGGCACTCACAAGCACTTAACTTTTGTATGGAAAGAGTTGTTCTTTTTTTTTAGTGCCAAAGCAGAGTTTAAGTAGGGAAATTAGGGTTTAGGAATTGGGGATTTCGAAACTAGGGTTCTTGGTAATTGGATTTTCGAAAATAGGGTTGTTTGATGTTTAAAATTAGAAACAGATCGAAATAATCGATTATTTGGAGTAATAATCGATTAAAACAGAGCCAAATACGTCGTAACCCAATCCTCTCTGGTTTAATCGATTATTTTATGAAATAATCGATTATTCTGTATCGGAATAATCGATTATTTTGTCGTTTAATCGATTAAAGCAGTGAGTTTTAGACAGTAAAATGGTTTTCTCATCTGCTTTAATCGATTATATACTTATATAATCGATTAAAGCCGAGCTCTGAATGATAAATTTGAGCATTTTGAAGCATCTAAGTTACGGACTATGTACCAGCTATCTTAGACTCTAAAATTACAGACTCAATCAAGCTAAAACAGAGTTATTACAATACGTAAATCATCAATCTTCAATCTTCAATACTCTAAGTCTTTAAGCTCTTGTATCATCATCAAAATCAACATTCTTCATGATCATTATTTGCAACATCAAGTCCTTGAATGTTCAACATATATATATGAAGATAATAATGCGTTCATTTATCAATTGAAAATAATAATAAAAATAATATATTAATGGAGATAAACAAAATATATTTTTTAAAAATTCTTCCTTATTGATGATATAAGAAAATATAAAAATTTAGAAGATTAACGTGAAAGTTTAATTAGTTTATTTACAAAATATTTATCAAAAGAGTATTTTAACAATTAATTTATAAGATTCAATTTTTATCATTTCAATGATGATGAGAGAAATAAATAAATTTAATTGAAATTTATGTAATATTTTTTTCTTTTAGTATATATTTATCTCATAAGATTTTAACGAGACAGTGATTGAATATTAAAAAATAGTTATCAATCGTTGTTAGATTTTTATTTACTTTCTTAATTTTTATTATTATTATTTATATGATTTAAATATTTATAATATTTGAGTTATATATGGTTATTAAATTTTTTATTTAAAAATAGATATTTTGATTAAAGATAAAAAATATGAATTTTTTTTCTTTCTAGAATTATAAGGACCAAATTTACAATTAATTTTAATTATATTCATCTTTTTATATAAATAATTTTGAAAAAAAAACACTTGTTTTTCTCCCTCCCTAATTTTTTCTGTAATAAAAATGTAATTAAATTTTACAGTTTGAAAAAGAGAAATGAGTCTGCTATTTTAGCAGGGAGTTGTATGAAAGGAAAGAAGAAGCAGAGTTGCAGGCAAGGCACCTCCGTCGTTTGTGTATGGTCACTCACCTAATCTTCCCTTCCTGCTTTCTTCTGTCAGTATTCAATACCTAAAGCACACCAAACACAATTCTTTTCATATTCATTTTCTCATTCAATTAATAAAAAAAAAAAAATAGAGAATAAGAGAAACTGTTCAAAAGGGAGAGGTAATTTTGAATGTCTTTAAACTATGTCTGATCACTTTCCAGTGGGACAAAAAATGCATGAAATTCTCATTGTCATGTCCTACATATTTACCTAGTCAAAGTTGAAAGTTGAAAACCCCTTTATGTACCATATATATCAAACACAACCCACTTGTTCTCCACCTTGTCTTTGACTTGCTCTACCTACCCACTTCACATTAATGCAGAAGCACCCTTCTTCTCTGATGCATTCCATCGCCATGGAAGAACAAGAACCAAAGCTGATCAGAGATCATGGGTCCAAGGAGAAGAAGCAAAACAAGGCCAAGCACTTGCTCATCCACACTCCCAATCCCAACCCTTCTCAAACAATCATGAGATTGGCTTCACTTGCCATCAGCTTCAACGTGAGGTTGAAATCATCTGACATGCCTGTCCACATGCAGGAACATGCTCTGCGCCACGCTAGATCACTCCTTCCTCTTCCCCCTCCTTCTCCAAAGCCTTCAAACACTCTCATAGCTAGAGCTCTAAAAAAGGTATTGGAAAACACTTATTTTGTACCCTTTTTTTGGTTTCCTATTCTAGTCATGCGCAAGAAGATACTTTCAGATATTAATACCATGTTTGATTCTGCGTTTGGAACGTAGATATTATCTTGGATGGAATTCTATTCTTGGTTTGAACCTTATATTGCACTTATATATAAACTTCTTCAGTATAATTTTCTGTAAGAATAAACATTCATAATTGAATCATTCTCTAACCCAATTATCAATTTCAGGAGTTTGACTTGAAGTATGGACTAGCGTGGCATTGTGTGATAGGGAAGAGTTTCGGGTCGTTTGTGAGTCACACTGGTGGAGGGTTCATCTACTTCTCAATTGACTCATTTTCAGTTCTTCTTTTCAAAACTGAGGTTCACTTGGTCACGCAACCACCTCCTCCTTAATTTTGTTTATTTTAAGTTAATTATTTTAATTAATGTTCCTGAAAACGTTCATACTTAATGTTGTACTTTTTGATTTTCAGTGACTCACATGTTGTCTAAATATGAATGAATCCGAGTATCCCGTACATGTTACTAATCCAGGAGTAATGATATACATATAATTTACCTTCCTCCTTTCAACTATTCTATATCTCTATTTAATGATATAACAATAATAAATATGAATATTTTAAAAAAATTATTATTATTATTTTAATATAAATATTATTTTAATATTACCAAGTATAATTTTTCTTCTAAAGGTTAACAAGTACATTGTCAAGCATGAGACAATTGAAACTTCTATGCACGTAACGTGGATGTGTTCAATCGAAGAAGAAAATTTATTTGACAACCCCTTAATCATACTTCAATTATATAGCTTAATATAATAATAATAATAATAACAAAAATAATAATAATATATTATTATTATTATTATTATATTAATATTTTTGGTTGTAGATGGGTGAATTGAGACGTCAATTAATCACATCTATCGTAATAGATTGTGCCGGGAAGCTGAAAGATTAGTTTGCTAATAGATTGGTCATACTTGGCATGGTTTATTTTTTAATGAAATATGAAGCCTACAAATGAACAGTGCTTTGGGCATGCTGTCTATTGGTAGTTGCAACAAAACACAACACCAACAAAAATTGTCCATAATGAAGTATTGATTGTGATCGTACTACAATGAAGTAGCGAGAGACAAAATGTAACTTTAAGTTAGACCATTGTGAAAAGTGTAGAGGAACACGTGAAACAATCATAACCAGATAAACTTTTGCATTCATTCTGCGACAAAATTCATAATCTAGCTTCAACAAAATTAAAAGACAATATATGAATAAATCTAATAAAAGATTTGATAATGTTATTTTAATTTATATCTCATACTTTTAAAACACCTATATTTTTTAAAATACCTAAATTTCTCTAAAACGAAAACTCTTCTTCTACCACATCAGAGAAAAAAAATTTGCTATTTCATAAAACAGACATTGAAACGAGAAAATTTTGTTTCTACTTCAAAAAACAGGCATTCAAACGTTTTTAATAGTGGGAAAAAACCAAACTCAAGAAAACTCATACTAAACCCACCATTAACCCTTTAATAAATTACAACAGATTCCTTAAACTTCAACACACGAAAGGCACCTCACGATGGAAAGCAATAAGCATGCACCTGGGGTCGTATGACAACATTTGACTAAATTTGTTTTTACTCTGATATGTCTTGTTCCTTCACTTTCAAATAACTGATCATCCTAAACATTTTGTGAGACCTCCCAACAACTTGGTCTCTGGCTTAATGACCGCTGTCTCCTAGGTGTGATTTTCTCTTTCTTTTCCTTTTTTTATCCTTATCTTTTCTAGAGTCATTCTCCTTATTCCCTGTCGTCTGAATATTCCCTTTATCATCCTTTAGCTTCTTACTGGAATTCTTTGAACCGGATTTTCTCTTTCTTGTCGAAGAACGCAAGTTAGGCTCTGCACTAGAGTCAACTCCCCGTGGTAGTGATTCTTCTTCATAATCTAACTGCCAATTGCATAACATATCCTGCTCTCCATACTGTTGTAATGGCTCGCCCGCACCAGGAAGCAACTTATCAAAAGTCACATCCCCGTTCAACCCCCCTTTCCGCTCCAACAAAACAGGATCTGGTCTAATTATAGTTCCCAGAATGCTCCTGTTTGGTCCTAAGCTCGTGATGATCTTGGGATTTGTCAAATTTTTGAATGCCATTGAAAAAGCTGACCTGATCTGGAAAAAAACACTAAAATTAATTTTAGCCGCTTACAGATGAAAATTAAACAAAAATTAAAAAAAGAAGTCAATGGATCATACATTTTGATTCATTTTAATCCTAATGTCAAAATGGTTCTTTTTATATGACCGACTAAATGACATGTTATAACACACCGAACATCGCACAAGTGAGCTGCTTCCGTTAGTAATTGGATGATATACTTACAAAACGCCTTTATTTGCTTATATTGCAAATTTGGCAGACTTGATTGGAGTAAAAAAATATTTAGGGGATCAACCTTTAAAACACCGAAGAAGAGGGTTCAAACAGACAAGACTCATCATTGAAAAAAAAGGGTGAAAATAGGAAGGGAGATGAATGATATGGTCTACCCTTCTAACTAATAGGGTAAGGAACTATGAGCAGGTTGAACAAAATTAAACTCAAACCAAACCTTAAGCAGTGAGTCAAAATTTCAATATAGCTGAGGCAAGTATGCTTTAGTACCTAAACGTAATTTCCAGTAAATGACAAATTATTTACCATTGTATTAATGTATTTCAATTCACACCAAGGATAAACATGTATGCACAAAAAATGTATTGAAAGTCAAATAAAAAAACAGCAAGCTGTACACAAACAAACATTCTTGCATTTGTTAAAGAGAACATTTTTTTTAAAACTACTATCATAAATATCATTTAATCAGAAAGAGTAAACAAACCTGGAAATAATTAAAGGAGTTCTTCCCAATGTCATTTTCTGGTGCCTGATTCAGCCAAACAATACTCTATCAATCAACTAAACGTTTGATAATAATTCATCTAATATGCATGTAAAACTTTATATTATATAAATGTGTATGCAAAATATAGTTTGCAAGAGATTTACTACAGGAAAAAAAAAATCCTGCTCAGATATTCTGCAGTCAACTAACCAATTATGATTAGGTCCTCCTAGCATTTTGGTAGGCAAATATCACCAATTTCGACTTTTAACATATACCTCCATAAAATATTCATCAATTGCTCCAAAAATGCAGCAAGTAATGACTTTGGAAATGAAAATAGTGACTCGAAATATCCATTGTTTTGAAAAATTACAAAGACTAAGTAAAGATAGACAATGCCTGTAAAAGAATGCAACCTTATAGAGGGCGCATATGACTAAAGGAAGATTATCAAATGTCCTCCAGTGTAGATAGAGAATCAAAAGGTATCCAAAGAAGCTAGAGAATACAACATAACTAAGTTCAATCTCTATCCGAGGTCGAGACTCCACTAAAACAAACTAACCACAGAAACAAACAAATCCATTTCATCCCCATCCATTCGAAAAAGGGATCCTAGGTCCAGAAATTCAACTATTGTGTTCTTGGTTAACACCCAAGAATACATTCTGAACAACAAAATGATGGTGATACCATGAAAAAGTAGAAGCAACTGTTTCTTGCTTTACCTTCATGAAAAATTAATTAATCCATTCACCATAAGCAGGGAGGATCATGAAAAATCCATCTTGTACAGTCCATTTAATATATATATATATATATATATATATATATATATATATATATATATATATATATATATATATATATATATCATTCTACAAATGAGAAGGCAGTTCTTAACACAAAACCTGTGGATCCTCAATGGCAATAAGACTTGGTCGTCCTTTGTTTAAAAACCTGAGATGACAATGGGAAAAGTTTAATTATAAGGAATAAATAAAAAGAACATTACTTCACAAATATATCCAAATTCTTTATTACCCTTTACTACTCTTCACAAAAAAAGTGCCTGCCCCATTACAAGACACGCCAACATCTGAAGTGTTCAATTTGCGTCCATAGAAATCAAAAAAATGCACCTGATTTCCAAAATGAAAAAAAAATAAAAAAAATAAAAAAAATCTCTATCAGAATGGTAAATTGATATAATTCTTACTTCTCATCCTAAAAAGGAATCATTATCAAAACAAAGGCACGCAGCACACAATTATTGCACATGTATCTATTCTTTAAACTACTAGAAAATGCATAAATAACTCGCCAGTCATGGATAAGAGCCCATTTAACAGCCCTGGAACCAGTGGAAACAGATACATAACATTACTTTGGATTCAGACGATACGCACCAAAAGGACTCCCAGATTATGTTCTGCAGAAACTTGGCTCAGTCGAAGATTCTGAAACATAGAAGGGTCAAAAGATTAATTTATTAACATGCATTAAAAGAAAAAGGTGAATTTATTTATTTATTATTTTTCATGACGGAGAGGTGGACTATATGCTTCATAGGCAAAATCTCATCATGCTGCAGACCACTGAACAACACTAAACTTTGAAAGCATATTCAAGAACCACTAACCCGCAACATTGCCATCAGCATGGCAAGAAGGGCATAAGAACCAATCCCTCCAGAATATACCTGCATACTTTACCAGAATCTCAATTAGGAAGACTGGAATCAGATCATTACAAGGCAGATACATATTATAGAAAACTCATACCTCGTTTAGTTCTCTTTGCTGCAAAAATACTTTCAAAATCAAACACAAGGGCCTTAGAGGTGGCCACTTAACCACAGCTTCCTACACATTCAATAATACAACCATGAACAATAATACAAACAATGTTCCATCAAATACAGAACACTTGATAAAATAGTACTGTTTTATACGTTTTTTTCTTGCATCAAAAAAGGTAAAAATTAAGAAAAAAACAAAGCAAAAACTACATAGTGCAGGTGGCATTTTGAGATTTTTATATTTTGGTGACCTACTTTCACAAAGCTTCTCGTCAGAATTTTACTTTCCAAGTAATATGGATATTGTGCACAGACATTGAGCACAAGGGATCACATTCCACACTTCAAAACCAAAATAATACAATATTAAAGCAAAGCAACTTCATATAGCAGAAGAATTGCAAGTCAAGTAACACATACAAGTTATTAATTTGATCCCACACCACTTGATATTATGTACCTTTAGGCATAGCATTCATCAACTTCCATGAAATCTGTTATAATTATTATTAGTTAGTGGTTGGTAGTTGTTGTTTTAATATGAGATCATAGAATGGAGAGGTGCATCCCCACTAAATATAAATCTTCTTTTAACTCTCTTTACTCTCTTAACTTAGTATTAGAGCAGGTTGGTCCTGCTCTGTCTTTCCGATCGCCGTCTGGCCACCGTCTGGTCACTGTCCGGCCACCGTCTGACCACTATCCGGCCACCGTCCAATCACTTTTCTGATTACTTTTCCGATTATTTTTCGGCAACTGTCAGTCCCCCATCCAGTCACGTTTTTGCTGTCGTCCGACGACTTTCCGACCACCTTCCAGTGACATTCCGGCCTCCGTTCCGCTACAGTTGTCCGCTGCTACCATTCGTCAGTTTTCTTGCAAAGTGAAAATTGATACCTCCCTCTATCTAATTCTATCTTGGGTGTTCTCCTTCTTACAGGTTCCATTGTCTCCATCTTGCATCTACATTATTTAAAACATGTCGTCAGGGCCCACAACCTCCTTTTTCCGGAACTCCCACTATAACGGCTGAGAAATTAAATGAAAAAAATTACATGTCTTGGTCCTCTTCAGTGGAACTTTGATTCCTTGGACAAAGGTTTCACGATCATCTAGAAGAAGACGGAAGTAAGATACCAGAAGATCAGGCTCAACAATGGAAAAAGCTTGATTATCAACTCTGTGCTCTATTGTGGCAATCAGTAGAACCAAATATTTTGAACACTCAGATCCTTCAAAACATGTAACTCTTTCTGGAAAAAGACCCAGAATATCTTCGCAAATGATATCCAACGCCTCTATGATTCTGCTAATCGATTAGCCTCTCTCAAGCAAGCGAATAAAGATATGATGACCTTTATTGCAGAAGCTCAATCAGTAGTTGAAGAATTAAAGATATTCATAGAGGTGGATTCATTAGAGGAGATAAAGCAAAAGTTGGATAAATTCTATATGGTTATAACTCTCCGGCTATGAATTCAGAAATTGATCATGTTAGAGATCAAATTTTAACTGGACAAGAAGTTCCTTCTATGGAAAGTTTGACTACAAGACTGCTTCGTGTTCCAACTCTCAAAGGAAAAAATAATCAAGAACTTGTTAAATCTTCTGCAATGATTTCTACTCGTGGAAGAGGAAGTCGCGGCACTAGAGGAGGACGTGGAGGTAGAGGACGTCCTCAGTGCACTTATTGCAAGAGAATTGGTCATACCTTGGAAAATTGCTACTCTTTGCACGGTACTGTCAATTTTTCCAAATCTGAAATGGTTGAACCCAGGTTCTCTCATGAAGAATATCAAGAATATTTGCGGTTGAAATCCAGTAATCTAGCACAGTCATCAACAAACCCAAATTCATCAACGGCTTGCATTTCACAATCTGTGCAAAATCAAAATCCATAGATTATTGACTCAGGTGCTTCTGATCACATATCTGGTAATACCTCTTTGTTCTCTTATCTCTCATTTCCTAAAATTCATCATCTCATAACCTTAGCCAACGGATCTAAAGTAGCCTCCAAAGGAACTAGTCAAGTCTCCATTTCTCTGTCTTTAAACTTAAAATATGTTTTTTTTGTTCTTTCATGTCCCTTCAGTCTCATTTCCCTAAGTCAATTAACCATATTATTGAATTGTTCAATAACCTTTAATGCCAACTCTTTTGTTATACAGGAACGTGGTACGGGTCAACAAATTGGCGAAAGACATGAATCTGGAGGCTTATACTACCTTGGGACTAAATCATCTGTATCTTGTGTTGCATCCTTGTCTCCAATACTATTACACGAACGTTTAGGGCACCCTCACTTGTCAAGATTAAAAAAAATGGTCCCTGAACTTCAGACTCTTCAAGATTTTGAATGTGAATCATGTCAACTAGGAAAACATACTAGGTCCTCTTTTCCTAAACGTTCTGAATCTAGATGTGACTTTGTCTTCTCTCTTGTTCATTCTGATATTTGGGGTCATAGTCATGTCTCATCCTTTGGCTATAGATATTTTGTTACCTTCATTGATGAGTTTTCTAGGTGTACTTGGATTTATCTAATGAAAGACCGTTTTGAATTATTACATATCTTTAAGTCTTTCCTTAACAAAATCAAAAATCAATTTGGAAAAATAATCAAAGTTTTACAAAGTGATAATGCCAAAGAATACTTTTCTACTGATTTCTCCACTCTCTTAAGTTCCCAAGGCATTTTACACCAGTCTACTTGTCCTCACACACCACATCAAAATGGTATAGCAGAATGAAAAAATAGACATTTGGTTGAAACTGCTCGTACCTTATTACTTGGTGCAAACATGTCTGTTTATCATTGGGGAGATGCTATTCTTACTGCATGTTTTCTCATTAACAGAATGTCATCTTCTTCTCTTGACAATAAAGTTCCACACTCTATTCTATTGCCAAAGGAGCCACTCTTTCATGTTTCTTCTCGTGTATTTGGTTGCATATGTTTTGTTTATGATATGTCTCCAGGTTTAGATAAACTATCAGCTAGAGCCATCAAATGTGTCTTCTTGGGATATTCTCGTCTTCAAAAAAGATATCGATGTTATTCTCCTGAAATCAAGAGGTACTACATGTCTGCTAATGTCACTTTTTTTTAATCAACTCCCTTCTTTTCTTCTTCTATGCAGGATATTAGTTCGGTCCAAAATGCCCTACCTATACCCTTAGTGGAGTCATTTGTACCTCCTCCTCCTGACACCCAAAATTCCACACAAAATACACTGGAATCCTCATCACTGCCTCTTATTACCTATCAACACAGGAGCCAAATGATCAGTCCCATGTCCCAAGATGAGTCTTCCTCAGCATATCCTTCTCAATCATCCCCTGATATCACAATTCCTGATAATGATGACTCAAGTTGGCCTATTTCCATTCGCAAAGGTACTCGCTCTACTCGTAATCCACATCCCATTTATAATTTTCTTAGCTACCATAGATTGTCTCCTTCCTATTTTTCTTTTGTCTCTTCTGTATCCACTATTACTATTCCAAAAAATGTGAAAGAGACACTTGATCATCCTGGATGGCGACAAGCCATGATTGATGAAATGCAGGCTCTTGAGCACAATGGTACATGGAACTTAGTTCCTCTTCCACCTGGGAAGAAGACTGTTGGTTGTTGTTGGGTCTATGCCATTAAAGTTGGACCAAAAGGTGAAGTTGATCGACTCAAAGCTAGATTAATAGCAAAAGGCTACACTCAGATCTATGGCCTTGACTATAGTGATACTTTTTGGCCAAAATGACTACTGTTTGACTTTTCTTTGCTATGGCAGCTACCCGGCATTGGCCTCTTCATCAGTTACATATCAAGAATACTTTCTTATATGGTGATCTTGAGGAGGAAATTTACATGGAGCAACCTCCTGGTTTTGTTGCTCAGGGGGAGTCTAGTTTGGTTTGTAAGTTACATCATTCTCTCTATGGTCTTAAACAGTCTCCACGTGCTTGGTTTGGAAAGTTTAGTCACATTGTTCAAAGTTTTGGACTAAAACGAAGTGATGCAGATCATTCTGTTTTTTATTATACTGCTTCAGAAAAATGTGTTTATTTAATTGTATATGTGGATGATATAGTCATTACAGGGGATGATGTTGATAAAATTTCTCTACTAAAGAAACATTTATGCAATCACTTCCAAACTAAGGATCTTGGTTGTCTCAAATACTTTCTAGGGATTGAAGTAGCTCAATCAAAAGAAGGCATCGTAGTCTCCCAAAGAAAGTATGCTTTAGATATCCTGAAAGAAAGAGACATGATTGATTGTAGACCAGTAGATAGTCCTATGGATCCAAATCAGAAATTAATAGCGGATCAGGGTGAACCACTCTCTGATCCTGAGAGATATAGAAGACTTGTTGGAAAACTCATTTATCTCACCATTACCAGACCTGACCTATCTTTTGCCGTTGGAGTTGTCAGTCAGTTTATGCAAAATCTGCGTACTGATCATTTGAATGTTGTCGTTCACATCCTAAAATATCTTAAAAAGGCTCCATGACAAGGTCTGTTGTATGAAGATAAAGGGGGTACCCAAATATCTAGGTATTGTGATGCTGATTGAGCTGGATCTCCTATTGACAGACGCTTCACTACAGGATATTGTGTTCTCATTGGAGGCAATATTATTTCTTGGAAAAGCAAGAAACAAAATGTAGTGATCCGGTCTAGTGCTGAAGCTGAATATAGAGCAATAGCATCTCTCACTTGTGAACTAGTGTGGGTAAAACAATTCCTTCAAGAACTGAAATTTTGTGAGATCCAACAGATGAAGATGTATTGTGACAATCAAGCAGCTCTCCACATTGCCTCTAATCCGGTGTTCCATGAAAGGACCAAACATATAGAGCTTGATTGTTATTTTATTCGTGAAAAATTGTTGTCTAAAGAAATTTGAACTGAATTTGTCGGGTCCAACGATCAACTTGCAGATGTGTTGACAAAGTCTTTAAGAGGACCTCAAATTGAATTTATTTGTTTCAAGCTTGGCACATACAATTTGTATGCTCCAGCTTGAGGGAGAGTGTTATAATTATTATTAGTTAGTGGTTAGTGGTTAGTAGTTGGTGGTTGGTAGTTGTTGCTTTAAATGTTGTAATCCTATATATATGAGATCATAAAGTGGAGAGGTGCATCCCCACTGAATATAAATCTTCTTTTAACTCTCTTAACTAAATCCTTCCCCATAAAAAGAGGAGAAAGATCTAATAGTGGTTTTATTATAATTGCTTCTCGGATGTTGCATTTGTTATTATAATAGGACCCTTGGGCCCAATTTTGATAATGACCAACGATTGATCAGGTGCCAAACCTGGATCCAAGAAGGCCCATTAAATGAGGGTATATTCAAAAAGGAATACAGTGGGTCATCAAGAGAGAATTAGTGGTGCCATGACATATGGTTATCACATAGGCAGGGAGGAATTCTGTTAGAGGCGATCTGTTAGCATCATGCTTTTACTAGGTCAGCTGGTGGAATACAAGGGATTCATCCTGATAGCATTGAGGTGGTTAGGAGATGGTTAGGAGAGTATATCTCTGGATAGGAGCCATAGGCTCTGATTGTATTTTACATTCTCTGTAAAAGCTCTTGTAGCTCCTCTTTTTCACTAAATAATACTATCATACTAGAATTCTTTCCAGTATTTCTATCTGACTACCTCACTAACAGCTTGATTAACATAAAAAGCTCACAATATAGCTTAAACCAAATATCCATACAAGAATCTGATACAATCATTTCCTTCCATGTCTTGTTGATTCACAAAAGCCTTACTATATAAATTTATGTTCAAATTTCCACTCATGTTCAATGTCATTTGATCACAGTGTCATGGCAGAATGGTGTGGCAAATTTTCACCATCTGCCATGGACAATTTGTGAAGATCTAGCTGTGGGGGTGCCATAGGCCACAATGGCATGGCATAATTATGGCCTTCTGCCATTGACAACATTGATTATATTCAACAATTATTATGATTCCATTTATGTATTGGTCAAATAATATATTTCACACTTTACATCAAATATAAATTTAAAAACAACACAGAATCACAAATCTAAATAAAAAAATGCACAGTGAAACCAAGTGGTGGGAAATCATAAAACAAACCTGAATATACTCAGCTGCTTTGGGTCCATTGTCTATGTCAAAACTGAAATAAAGCATAATTCCATGGTGGATCAGTGATATTCACAAAAACATCATAATAAAATAGTTTTAGTTCTTCTACACATAATATTAAACAACATGACAATTCAATATAACTATGTTACAAACATGAATCAATCCATGGTATACAGCAGATCAACTATACTCAGAATAATACGGTTGTGACTTGTACAATAAGTAGCAACTGCTAATAAGTGGTTGGGTGCTAAACCTGGGTCCTATACGTATTTAACTACTTATTATGGAAAATGAATGTATGAAGCAAAAACTAAAAGGATCTGATGGAAATGCATGTAACACGATTAAGCAGAATCTTCAAACATGAGAGAGTCATACATTATTCTTCAGGAGTCATGAAACAACTTTGTATGGCAGACAGATATTATTATTATTATTATTATTATTATTATTATTATTATTATTATTATTATTATTGTTATTATTATTATTATTATATACATGCAAAATAAAATACTCCCAATAGCCAAACAATGAAAACCATCATATCTTCTGCAGGAGTTTTAATTAGCTATTTCTACTGATTCAACTATGGAAAATCCATAATAAAATTTAAAAATACAAAGACATTCAAGTAAAAACAACACATCCAATATCATAAAATAAAGTGGACCAGTAAACAAAAATATACTTGATGCAGACAGATGATTTTATAAAATCATACATTAACGTAAAATCAAGAAGAAAAAAGAGGGAAAATCAAGGAGTTAAAAGGTGAACCTTATATCAAATGCAAGACCACTCCTCTTCTCAACAAATTTAATAATTGGTACCCGAGCCTTTCCAATGATCTGGCAGAGGATTCACAAGCAAAACACCAAACACTAAAAATTTCGACAACATTGATTATTTCTTCCTGGCAACAAAAATACAGATATTTAAGTACCCCAAACAAACCTGAATCTTTTTTGCCAGGCTCCTTTGCGACAAGGCTTTAGAAATTGCATTCAGGCCAATCTGTGGATTTGGCAAGCCTGATTTCAGAATCACAACCTGCTTTCAAAGAATTTGTCCATAATGAATCGATCATTCAGATGCACTGATTCATGAGGAAAATTTACTACCAGTAATCAACTATACTTACATCAATATCACTGGTCGGAAGATACAGCCCTGTCCTGAAAGACCCAAACACTTCCACCTGAGAGTAACAAAAAAAGAAGAAAAAAGAAACCTCGTTGAAACATAAAACTTTACAATGATGTAATGCAATAACAACAATATTGATACCTGGCAATGAGGCCATATATGTTTTATAACTCCAAACACGGTTTCTATTGCCGTATCCCGTGCAGCTTTCTCTTCAACAGTTGGTGACAAAAACTCACAAAAATCAACTATCTCTGCATAACAAGCATCATCAAATCACTAAAAAAATTCTAAAACCATATATCACAAAAAAGTGTTGTCTAATTTCATGGTGGAAATAATTAAGATTAATTTTGACCGCAGTCAAACTCGATTTCATAGACGTTTTGTTATTGCTGGGTAACATTGCTTTTACTAGAAGCGATCAAATGTAGCTTTCCCCTTGGACTGCTTTATAGCAAACTTGCTTTGAAGATAAAAGCACCAAACATAAATCACTTCACTTGAAAATCAATTCTAGCTAAAAACCAATTCTACAAAATCAGTTCTGCAAACGCGCAGCCAAACAGCTTAACAATCCACTCTACTTTTCCCTAACCGGTTTAAACAAAAGAAAAAACTTAAATACAGTTACTTAAGTGTTGTTTGTGCTGTTCTCCGATTAAAATTCAAGGATTACGTGAAACTGCATCTCATTGAAAACAATGAATTGGCTACCTTTATGCAGCTGAAGCATAGGACTCCTAAATTTGCAATTCCCGCGGAACCAGACACTCTCGAGTTTCGGCTCGGGCGCGGGAGTCGGCGTCTTCGGCTCCTGCGCGGCGGCGAGCGGCTCGGGGAGGGAGTCGCGACCGGAGGTCTCGGCGGCGACATCGAGAGAGAAGAAATCGACGGTGGTGGAGGTTGGCCAGGCGCATTGGGGGGTGTGGACTGAAATCTCGTTACGGAAAACTAAGTATGGTTCGTGTTGGTCGGAGAGTGGGGAATCGGCGGAGGATAGAGCCAGGGGACTGAGAGTGTCGTAGACGAAGGTTTCGGGAATATTCAGCGGTTGCTCCGCCATTGAAAACCAAGGAGGTGGAACAGTGAAGAATACGAAATTATGGTGGGTAAGGGTATACAATATGAATTGAAATTAGGGTTCTGTTTAGGGGTTTATGTCTGGCGCGATTCTAAAAGGATTTTGCTTTTTCAGTAAACGATAGAGTGAAAATTTATTTTTTTTATATTTTCAAAATTAGTTTTTATTTGATACTTTCGATTTTCGAAAAAACGGTTTTTACAATGCTAATATATATCATTTCAATTTATAATAAAGGTTTAGTTTATATAATTAAAATTCATAATAAATATACACTTTTGAATATATAAATTATATTATAAATTCTAATTTATGATAAATATTTGTAATTTATATTTATATATATAGATTTTTTTTAAGTTCATGATAAATTATATTGTAATTATTTATTTTAAAAATAAATAAGATTGGGAGAAATAAAAATATTAAAGAACATTTCTAAAAATCTCTTGTTATAAAAAGATTATCAAGAAAAGAAACATTTCTAAAAATATTAAGAAATATTTCTAAAAATCTCTTATTATAATCAAAATTAGAATAAATATGTTTAGTACTTATATAAATAAGTATAAAATCATATAATTCAAATAACAACTATGGTTATATCTTCATAGAATTTTAACTTATCATAAATGATTATCTCATTAAAAAGAATAAAGAAGGTCCACCTACATAAACACTTCTGTGTTTAAGCCAATTACGAAAATATCAAAAATATATTTGTATTAATAAAATGATATAATTTATATTTTTTTACTAGAATTTTTTTAGGCATTAAATAATATTTTTTTTAATATTAATAATTGTCTTTAATGCGTTTTTATGTATTATTATAATAATAAGGATTAATTGGAGAAAATATTATCGTTATAATAATAATATAAAATTCGAGTAAATACACAAATCCTCTACGAGTTTAAAGTCTGGTTATAATAAAGACGTAATAATGGATATCCAAGTTTATATAGTTTTGATTTATTGAGTTGTTATCCTAAGTTTCTTCGTGTCAAGTAATATATGATTTTATTAATTTTAACGACATAAATTTTCTAATTTTGAGAAGTCTTTTTTATTTCTTGAGTTGATGATTGCTTTTGATGGGTCATCAATGAGGATTTTTTTTTTAACCATATCACTTTGTCAAGTATATTTCCTTAAAATGGTGCCTATGATTTTTTTTTTAATTAAACAAAAATAATTTTAAATAAAAATTATAAGATTTAATTATTAAGTGTCAACACCTAATTTTGTGAAGTAAAAAAAATAATAATAATAATAATAATAAATAGCAGCATTTATTTTAAAATATGAAAAAATTTAAAAAATAAATAAGATTAAAAAGATAAAAAATAGTTCTATTTTTTTAATATTTTAGTTTTTTAAATTAAAAAAAAAGAAAAAAATATGATTGAAAAAAATATAAAAAATATTTTATTTTGTTAACATATTTTTTGTTTAAAAAAATAATTTTCAACCTCCCTCTCACCCACAATACCACCCTTCACCTCACTCGCACGCTTCGCAGCACTCAAACTCACCCATTCCTCCATAGTGAGCTTCACTCGTCTCCCCTCGTGATTTTTCTCCCCTTCACTCAGCACCAAATCTCCCTTCCATATACCTTTACTCAGACCCATTCCCTTCTCTCTTACCCCACAACTAGCCATCTCAGTGTTCCTCACACCCTCACCGAGCCTCCTTGAACTCAACCCCGCATTTCGCTCACTGGAGCCACACCAACACCATTCTCATCTCCAAATCGCTACGCTTCGCCTCACCGGAACTCAGTTGCGCCACCCAACACCCAATCGTTCTTGTCGCACCACTTTGATCCCTAACCTGTAGCGTCGCCCCCTTTACTAAAGCACCACGCCTTGTCGCAACCACCACAATTCTCCCTTTGTCCAGTCACGAGGCCAATGATCCTCCAGCTCCTTCTCCCCTCGGAGTCGCGCCTTCACCATGACAATTGCATTCCCAGTCCCCCAGCGCCACGGCGAGGTCCCCATTGCGAGTCGCTCACCCCCCCCCCCTTCATCACTGCCCACCGTGGTCCACACCCTTACCATGAGCCTTACACCGTGAGGCCACCGCTACCACCGCGTGAGGCATCTCAAGCCCTCACTCTAGGCGCGACCTAGCTCGCCGCAAGGGTCTGTTTGCATTTTTCTCTTCCTTTTTTCATTGTTGTGTTTATTCGTTGTGTTTTTGCTGCTTGGTTTTTACACTTCTACCTTAATCTGCTTGGATGGGAATTGCTTTGTTGTGGCCAGTTTATTTTGTTTGATGCAAGACTTAACCAATTTGCATCTTTGACTATTGGATCTGCTTGGGACTGTTTTGATTTGTGTTTGGATCTGTATTGTGGTTGCCTGGATATCCGTCTACAGCCTATGGTGGCCTTGCTTGTCTTTTGGTAAAGCAAGTGTTTTTTTACGTGTTCCACTTGTTATGTTTATCCAATATGTTTTTGGACATCAATTTTGAATGTTGCTTTAGATGTTACTGTGACTCATAATATTTAAAGATACTTAGGTTATGATTCATCTGTGTCTTACTACTTTTGGGCTGTTTCCAAGAAAAGAAGTCAAATTGATATTTACACTATTTTCCCTCTTAATTGAAAGATACATGATATCGTTCATTCATGCTTGAGAATGAGGTTGTTATGTTTGTACGCATGCTTAATATGTTGTTTTTAGTCTTTCTACAACACTGTTAAATTCTTTCTGCAGACATTAATTCAATGTTATTGGTGTTATACAAATTTAACAAGTTGGGGCAATAGAATATGTACTCCTGCAACTTTATTTTATGGCTTTATTCTTATGTAATTCTTAAATATCTTGATACACTTATTATGAATGACAAAAAAAATGAAAGTTAAACTTGTAAAACTTTCTACAGTTAACTTCTTATGAAAACAAGCCAACTTCTTATGAAAACAATTCATACATTATTTCCTATTTTATTGGTGTTATTTTGTATATCCCATTTGGATTTGAATTTTATTGACTTTTCTTCAATTCAGAAATTGTCTTCTTGTCTGGATCAATATTGTTCACAATGACTTTAAGATAAGAAGTGCATATGTGGAGATTTTTTTCCCAAAAGTTAGAAGTAAGTATCTCAATACTTCCCAAGCTAAATTTCTACATTATTTCTTACTTGAATTGGAATTAAATCACCTCTTCTTGCTCTCTTACCCTTATTATAAGGGTAGATCCTTAATTTGTGATACAATGGAATATAAATACAGGAGTTTTTTGTGATTATGTCATTTAACTTATACTACAATAACTCAAGTATTATAAAACAAATTATACTAATTTTATAGCTAAAGTACGACCTGAATGGGCTGCGAATAGAAGTGGCCCACCACAAGTTTAATAGAACACAAGTTTTTATGCCTACCACCAGTTCAAAAAAAACACAAATTAAATAGAACAATGGTGGTAGATACTTTCTCAAATTTCAGGGAAACAACAACTAATTATTAAATTGATATTATCCAACCAAGAAAAAAGTATTCAATGATAAGTTTTTCTTAAATTACAATTAAAGTAAAGACAACGTGTTAGACAAATGACATCTAGAGGGGGGGAGAATAAATGCACAAATTAAAATAGATGTCAAATTAAAAATTTGTTTGTAAGTCAATAATTTGTTAGAACACAAATAAAGCGAAAGCGATAATATAATCAGAAAAAGAGAAAGAGATAAGGAAAAGAAAAGAGCACACAATGATTTATACTACTTCAGGTATAACCAACCCTACATCCAGTTCTCAGTCAACTCTTAACACAAGAGTGACTCCCAATTCACTATCTTTCAAATTCAGTTTACAAATTATAATCAACTCAGCAGAAGAACCAATAAAAAATAAACTAATTAAAAAGACAATTATCTCCTTAAAAACTCACTAAGGATGAACACCTCCTCTGAACAAATCAAAGGACGAAAAAACACCTCCTTAGAATCCCACTAAGGATGAACACATCCCTAGAATCACACTAGGGATGAAAACCTTCTTTGAACAAATTAAAGGATGAAAACACCTCCTTAGAATCTCACTAAGGATGAACACCTCCCTAGAATCAAACTAGGGATAAAAATTACCACATTTGCCACCAATACACAAAGGATGAAGGTAATAAAAATAAGAACTGAGTAATGGAGACAACAAATTGTAGAAGCCTGTAGAATGTCAATCTCCAAGAACAAGTGTGATTAACAATAAAAGCACAAAAGGCAGTAAAGAAGAGGGTTTTTTCAGAAGGTGTAAAAATATCTCTGTTGTCTTGCTCAGAATTTTTTTCTCAAAACTAATTGAATGTAAATTGTATTTTCGAATTCTGTAATTATGTGTTTTTATTTTTCATCAAAACTTAATTAAATAAAAAAATAACATTAGAAAATGGTCGTTGGACATTAATATATTCGTGAATAAAAATTAGGATATATTCAAAAACATTTATTCTTCAAAACAGATATATTTTTCAAATTTGAATTGTCATAATTGATTATGTTACCAGTATAATCAATTATGACAGAGAAAATCATTTTTCCATTTTTGATGCATCATAATTGATTATGACAGAGAAAAATATCATGTTATGAATTTTATCACACTTGTGTTTTGGAGGCTTATGCATAATATTACTTCATCAACTTGTACCTCCATATCCAGTATTATAATACTCTATCTAGTCTTCAGGAATCATCTTGGGCTTGCTTAAATCATCATCTTTATCAAAAACATATCTTGGGCATGTAGAGAAATGTTTCACATTTTCACCAACGTCTTAAATTCAGTTTGTCCTTAAATCATCTTGAATGATGTTGACTTGAATGATGTTGACTTGAATCATCATCAAAATCATCTCTTGGAAATGTAGGGACATTTCCATCAATATCCCCCTCATTACTTTCAATCTTCCCATTTTTTATAATGATCAAGGAAACACCTGAAATGAATGAATTAAAATGTTTGACTCTACATAGCCAGCTCAAGATTAGCACAGTATAGTATTAAGTATCAGAGTCTCTTAATCTCCTCCTGGATATATTAATAACAAGACTCCCCCTAACTCATGAGTAAAGACTTCTCTTAACTCCTCTTGTTTAATTTAGAGATAGAAAAGAATTTCACACAGATTTTAATTCATCAAAAAATTTTCCCCTGTTTCATTGATAATCATAAAAAATATTATAAGTGTCGCAACCGAAATCGCGACGAGACGACGTGCCAAAATTTCAAAAAGATTTAAAAAAAAATCAAAATCAGAGTTTTGGAGTCGCCACCATAGTTTATTTATGAAAACTATAGAAAAATCATAAAGATAAGATAAGGTCTACGAAAATCAAATTCAGGTTCGAGAGTCGATTATAAGTAGGGAAGGTATTAGCACCCTACAACGTCCGTCCTAAGACGGTTACCCTTAGTTGAGTGTGCAAAATTAAATATCATTCTAAAAATGTTTATTTTTCTCCGAAATCAAGGAATAGAGAAAGAAAAAGGAAAAAGAGAAAAGAAATGGACTAAAATATATTTTAGTTTTTTGGGGCCCGACAAGGATTGACCTCGCTCTTACATATTCTCATTCAAAATGAGAAATCAGGATTACTTAGTTCTTTGGTGAAAATTTTGTGTTTAATTGATTTTTGAAAATTTCGTTTTTGAAAATGGTTCCTATTTTGTTTTGGGTTTTGAATATTATTTTTAATGTTTTGAAAACACATAATGACGTGTATGGTCATACCCATGTTTCGAAATTTATTTAAAATAAGAGAACATGACGACGTGAGCAATCGTACCTATACCTCAAAATTTGTTTAAAATAAAAGGATATGACAACACAAATGATCGTACACATACTTCAAAATTTATTTAAAATAAGAGGACATGACAACACAAACAGTCATACTCGTACCTCACTTTATTTAAAATAAGAGAACATAACAACGTGAATAGTGATATCCGTATCTTAAAATTTATTTAAAATAAGAGAACATGACGAAGATCATACCCGTACCTCAAAATTTATTTAAAATAAGAGGACATGACAAGACGAGCTTCCATCCTCGTACCTCAAAATTTATTTAAAATAAGTCGTCCTACCCGTAGCTCAAAATTCTTTTAAAATAAGAGGCCATTACGACGGGAGCTACCTTATCCGTACCTCAAAATTGGTTTAAAATAAGAGATGACATCGCGAAAGGTAGTACCGTACCTCAAAATTAAAATTTATTTAAATTGGATAAAGCGTATCAGGAACCATCATACTCAAAGCAAAATACTCTCAAAATGCAAAAATTAGCGACTGTCTCTGTCAAAGACAAACATAACCCGACATGCATATAACTTGACCACAACCTATCCACCCAACAAAAATCCGGTAGCATAATGGTAGTAATTTGGCATCCAAAAAAAAGACCAGTGACCTTAACATCAGTGACCTTAATAGATTAACAATCCAGCCACAAGGACCCACGGTCCATAATAGATACAATCCAACGAGGAAGAGAGGATAAAAAAATCTAATAATGAAAATAGGCAAAGTCCAGATACAAATCAAACCAAACTACAGTGTGTAAAAAAACAACACTAAAAAGGTTTAAAGAAAAAGGCAAAGAAAGAAGAGAGGAGGAGTCTCAACAGTCGTCCGGGGGAAGCTAGGGCTCGCGGTGGCTGCCAAAGAGGGGTTTTGGTGGGTTTTAGGACTGGAGGGCACGGTGAGGGTGAGGCCTAGAGTGGTGGCCAGCGAGTACTGGCAGCGGAGGCGTGATGAAGTGGAAATGGAGGCTGCTTGGGGGAGGGGCTTTGGACGTGTGATGGTGGGACTTGAACCGGGACCTTTGGATGGTGGTGAGAGTGAATATGAAAGGAGGTGGGGTCGGGCCTATGGTGGTAGAAGAGGGAAGGTGCAGAGTGAGGCAAAATGAAAAGGGCACGGTGAGAAACCATGATAGAAGGAGTGGATGGGTAGAAAAAAAAAATGAATGGACCAAACCTGAAGGTCCTCATTCCGAGAAAAAAAAAAAAAATGTGAGAAGTAGGTCAAAATTACCTCGAGATGCACACCCCAAATGTTGATTTCCAATCTCCTTCAATCTCTTGCGCCAGTTCTTACCCCTCCAAAAATCCTACCTCTCTTTATTACCATTCCCTCTTATAAAGCCCAAATTAGGTTAAGTGTTAGATACCTAGGGTAAAAACCAATTGGGCCCAAAAAGAAAGGCCTCGTAAAAAAAAGTTAATAAAATTATTTCCTTTTTTATTCTCCTTTTTTTTATATCAACGTAAAATGTTATATAGAATTATTTTTCCTTCCTTTTTTTCTCTTTTTTTTTAAATCATTTTTTATCATTTTTTTTTCTTTTCTTAAAAAGGTAGAATGTCACTAAAGCAAGTTATTATTATATTATTAGTATTTTTTATTTTTTTCTTCCCCTCTTTTTTTATTTAGAGGTGCTTAAAAGAAAACACATTTTTCTTTTTTTTATATTTTTATATTTTTTCTTCTTTTTAAAAAAAAAAATTGTTATCTATTTATTTTTATATTTATCGGACGAAATTGGGTGCTGACAATAAGAGAAAAAAACCTCCCCCTGTTTCACACAGATTAATATCATCAAAATATCTCCCTGTTTCATTGAAAATTATGAAAAATATTGCAATAGAAACTGAGAACAAATTTGCACATATTAGTACATAAATCAAGGTAGAGAAGATAATGCATCACAAAGTGTCATAGAGAAGAACATCATATTAAGGAGGCAATATGTAGGATACCCAAGACAAATGAAGAGAGAGAAAGATAGAGGAATAGAATGATTATAGAGATAATGGAATGAAATGCAGTAGTTTCCCTCCATTGCAGTCTTCTTATTTAGGCAGCTTTCAAATTCAAATGCACTCATATTCCATATTTCAAATTTCAAATTAAAATTGCAACAAATTTCAAATTTCAAATTCAAATTCCAACAAATTCTAAATTCTAAATTTCAAATTCAAATTTCTAATCCCAAATTTCAAATTCAAATTTCAAATTCCAATTCAAATTCAATTTCAAAAATCTCAAACTACAAAAATCTCAATCTACAAAATTTCAAATTTCAAAAATCTCAAATTGCAAAATTTCAAATTTCAAAAATCTCATACTGCAAATTTAAAAAAAAAATTCAAACTGCAAAATTTCAAATTTCAAAAATCTCATACTACAAATTTTTAAATAAATATCAAACTGCAAAATTTCAAATTTCAAAAATCTCAAATTGCAAAATTTCAAATTTCAAGAATCTTAAACTGCAAAATTTCAAACTTTAATAATTTCAAATTTTCATAAATTCAAACTTTCAACATAATTGATTATGACAACAAGAAAAAAAATTTCCGATTCTGATAATCAATTAGATGCTCAAATTATCATCTAGACATGTGTAAATGTTTTGTTCCTTTAGGCACTCATTCATATTTTTCATTAGATATGCCAAAATGTTTTATGTAACATCTATTTGATGTATGACCTAATTTCATGCAATAAAAACATGTTGGTTTTCTTTGAAAAGGTCTAAATGAGTTTCTTAAAGTTTTTGAAACTGGTTTCACATATGTTTTCCTTGACTCTTTCACAAAAATAGTTTTATGAGGTTCTAGACTTTCTTTGGGTTTGTAACCAAGTTCAGCTTTGCTAGAATTCTCTCTTTAATAACCTAATATAGAATCAAGATTTTCAGAAGATTTTGAAAACTTGCTTATTATTTTCTCTAACTTGAGAATCTCATTTTCCAAATGATTACAATTTTTACAAGGTTTAGCAACTTCTTTATTTTTAGACAAAGTTTTAAATTTATCAACATCTTTCTTTAAGCACTCATTTTCTTTTTCAAGAATACCAACAGTATTTTCTAATGCATCAAACTTTTGTCTAAGTGCATTGTATTTCTTAGATAACTTGGTAAAACCTTCATATATATCTTGATATTCTTTAAATAACTCATCATATTCATTTAAGGAATTTGTACTATTTACGTGTGATGAGGCTTCATCATCACTTTTTGTCATCAAGCAAAGATTTGTTTTTTCTTCTCCATCACTACTTTCGGAAGAACTCTCTTGTGTTGTGAAAGAATCATTATCCTCCCAAGCAATATAAGTTTTGTGTTTGCTCTTATAAGTATCATTCTTCTCTTTCTTCTTCTCTTTCACATCTTTCTTCTCTTTCTTAAGTTTCGGACAGTCTGGTTTGATATGACCAGATTTTCCACATTCATAGCAATGAAATTTATTTGTTTTCTCCTTTCTTTGTTGTCTCTTTTTCCTATTCTTCATAAAGCGAGAAAATTGTTTAACAAAAAGAGACATATCGGAGTATGAAAACTTACCTTCATTTTCACTTTCGTCTTGTGAAGATTTTTTTACTTTTAGAGCTATCGTCTTTGTTTGATTCTGTTCACCGTTTTTTAACCTTTGTAGCTCCATCTCATGTTCTCGCAGCTTTCCAAATAGAGTAGCAATATTCATTTTTGTGAGATCCTTTGATTTTGTAATAGTAGTGACCTTTGGTTGCCAATTCTTGTCTAAGGATTTTAAGATTTTTGTGCTCAACTCCTCATTGTCAAAACTTTTTCCTAATGCTTTCAAGTGATTTATTATATGTGTGAAGCGTGTCTGAAAATCCGTGATGCTTTCATTCTGCTGCATTTAAAACAATTCATACTCCTGGATGAATGTGTTCTTACGTGCTCGCTTTACTTCATTTGTTCCTTCATGTGTTACTTCAAGAGTGCCTCATATTTCTTTTGTCGTCTTGCATTGTGAGACCCTGAAAAATTCATTACAAGTTAAGGCAGAAACAATAACATTTCGGGCTCTTACATCATAATGGGCACGCTTATTTTCATCCCGCGTCCATTGATCAAAAGTCTTTGGAACAGCCCCATACTCCTTTGTTCTCATCGGAATGTAGGGACCATTGAGTACAGCATCCCAAACACCATAATCTAGTGTTTGTAAAAATATTTCCATTCTCGCCTTCCAAAACTGATAGTCTTCTCCTTCAAATAATGGTGGTCTGTTTATTAAGACTTCTTCCCTATAAATTTGATTCTGCATAGACATCTTGACAGATCCTTTAGAAATATCTTATCTAACCAAGCTCTGATATCACTTGTTAGACAAATGACATCTAGAGTGGGGTGAATAGATGCACAAATTAAAATAGATGTCAAATTAAAAATTTGTTTGTAAGTCAATAATTTGTTTGAACACAAATAAAGCGGAAGCGATAATATAATCATGAAAAGAGAAAGAGATAAGGGAAAGAGAAGAGCACACAATGATTTATCCTGGTTCGGGTATAGCCAACCCTACATCCAGTTCCCAGTCAACTTTTAACACAAGAGTGACTCCCAATGCACTATCTTTCAAATTTAGTTTACAAATTACAATCAAGTCAGCAGAAGAACCAGTAAAAAGTAAACTAATTAAAAAGACAATCACCTCCTTAGAAACTTACTAAGGATGAACACCTCCCTAGAATCCCACTAGGGATGAACACCTCCTCTGAACAAATCAAAGGATGAAAAAACATCTCCTTAGAATCTCACTAAGGATGAACACCTCCCTAGAATCACATTAGGGATGAAAACCTCCTTTGAACAAATCAAAGGATGAAAACACCTCCTTAAAATCTCACTAAGGATTAACACCTCCCTAGAATCACACTAGGGATGAAAAATACCTCCTTTGCCACCAATACACAAAGGATGAAGGTAATAAAAATAAGAACAGTCACACATGGGTAATGGAGATAACAAATTATAGAAGTCTATAGAATGCTAATCTCCAAGAACAAGTGTGATTAACAATGAAAGCACAGAAGGTAGTAGAGAAAAGAGTTTTCTCAGAAGGTGTAAAAATATCTCTGTTGCTTTGCTCAAAATTCTTTTCTCAAAACTGATTGAATGCAAATTGTATTTTTGAATTCTGTAATTGTGTGTTTTTTATTTTTCATCAAAACTTAATTAAATAGAAAAATAGCATCAGAAAATGGCCGTTGGACATTAATATTTTTGTGAATAAAAATCAGGATATATTCAAAAACATTTATTCTTCAAAACAAATATATTTTTCAAATTTGAATTGCAATAATTGATTATGTTACCAGTATAATCAATTATGACAGAGAAAATCATTTTTCCATTTCTGATGCATCATAATTGATTATGACAGAAAAATATATCATGTTATGAATTTTATCACACTTGTGCTTTGGAGGCTTATGCATAATATTACTTCATCAACTTGTACCTCCATATCCAGTATTCTAAGACTCTATCTAATATTCAGGAATCATCTTGGGCTTGCTTGAATCATCATCTTTATCAAAAACATATCTTGGGCATGTAGGGAAATGTTTCACGTTTTCACCAACGTCTTAAATTCAGTTTGTCTTTAAATCATCTTGAATGGTGTTGACTTGAATGTAGTTGACTTGAATCATTTTCAAAATCATCTCTTAGGAATGTAGAGACATTTCTATCAATCTCCCCCTCATTATTTTTAAAAAATTGTAATTTAACACCTTTCTTATCTCAACATTGTTTTTTCTACTTACAAATATTTTTTATTTAACAAAATAAGTATTTTGTAAAGAAAATATTAGCATAATTAAAAAATATTATGATTTTGACTAAATTATGATTTTTATAATTTTGTTAAAAAAAATTATGTTTTTTTATTAGTTTTATTTGTTGTGATAATAATATTTCTTTTAATATTTGGTTAGTAGGGATACAAAAAAACATAATACAGCTGCGAAGGAATTTGAAGTTGCACCAATAATTTCCGAAAACAACATAATGTTTTTTTTTTGTGGAAGATAGAATTTCAACCTTTTGACATATGAATTGAAATAATTGTTGTATTTATTTATATTTTACTTTGTTTTTATTTTTACAAAGATTGGTTTTGAATCTTAGTATTATCTATTATTTGTATAATGATAATGAATATTTATAAGTTCATTTTATTTGATGAATTTTATATTATATATAATGTATTTTTATATGTTTATCTTGTCTATTAATTTTAAAAAATAAAAATTAAAATTAGTGACTAATTTAGTGATAAATTTTAGATTTTAAATTTGGTTACTAAATTTTAGTTATTGATTTCAATCATAAATATTATTATAGATTCACCTACTTTAGTCACTAATTCAATCATATATTTAATTACGGATTTAGTTACAAAATCGGTCACAAATTCGGTTACATAATCGGTCATTGAATTGGTTACTAATTTGGTCACAAAATCTGTTGATTTGGTCACATAATTGGTTACGGATTCGATCAACGATTCAGTCATGGAATCGATCACTGAAATCAGCGACCAAAGAAAGTGCGACCAATTCGAATTGGTCACTATTTCAATCACTGTTTTCATTAGTGACCGATTTTGGTCATTTAGTAACTGAAATTTTAGTCATTATTTGTTGTTTTTCTTGTAGTGAATAAATTTTTAATTAATAATATATTTCACTACAAAAAAAATGCTTATTATCTACGGGTAAAATCCGTAGGTAATGACAAAAATCCGTAGGTAATGTCACTTTACCTACGGATTTCTTTCCGTAGAAAATCCGTATGTAATGCATTCACCTAATTTATTACAACCCCTCCCTTATTTGTTATTATTACCTAGGATCCCCCTCCCCTTTTTGAATTATTATTAGATTAAGGGAATTGTCATTGGCGAGGTTCGAACCCAAGTACCTCGAGTTGGAGATCGATACTCCAACCACTAAGCTATTAGGATATTTTGATAATAATTTACAAATAAATTATATTTATATTTATCCGTGTAAATATATAAATATAAAATATATAAATATAAAATATATAAATATAAATATATATAAATATAAAATATATAAATATAAATATATATAAATATAAAATATATATAAATATAAAATATATATAAATATAAAATATATAAATATTTTGATATATTTATATATTTATATTTATATATTTATATATTTATATTTATATATTTATATTTATATATTTATATTTATATATTTATATATTTATATATATATATATATATTTATATATTTATATTTATATATTTATGTATTTATGTATTTATATATTTATGTATTTATGTATTTATGTATTTATGTATTTATATATTTATATATTTATGTATTTATATATTTATATATTTATATATTTACACGAATAAATATAAGTATAATTTAGTTGTAAATTATTATTAGAATATCCTAATAGTTTAGTGGTTGGAGTATCAGTTTTCAACTTTAAGGTACTTGGATTCGATTCTTGCTAGTGACAATTCTTTTAGTTTAATATAATTTACCTACGGATTTTCATCCGTGGGTAATATCCATAGGTAATGTAAAATTTACCTACGGATTTTTATCTATAGGTAATATTCCGTAGGTAATAGGCTTTTTTTGTAGTGTTTAATTCAATATAATTCAAGAAAAATAAAAAAAAATAAAAATTTCTTATCATCTAATTTTTTTAATCTAATTATCCGTGATTATATATATAAAATGATTTTAAAAAATATTTTTTCTCTTTTATTCTTTAAATAAACATTCTCAAATTTTCTTGAATATGAATCAAACTAATTAAAAATATTCTCTTTTCTTAATTCTTTCAATCATATATTTTTCTATTTTTATTTTCAATTATAAACTCACGTTTTTAATTTATTTTTCTTAAAATTCCTTTTCACAATTATTTATATAATTTTAAGAATAAGTATTTATATTTTAAAGTTAATATATACATTAAATTTCAATTTATTAAAATAAAAATTAATATAAAATACAAAAAATGTGTCTATGGTAAATATTGATAAATTCAAATCAATAATATATATATATATATATATATATATATATATATATATATATATATATAATTACCTAAACCACAGATTCTATAAATTTGAAATAAATGGATTCTTCAATTTTATAACGTGATGGTCTTGATCAACATGTTCAAGAAAGAATTCAGTACAACCATAGTTATCATACTTTTGAATATTTAAATATATTATTTTATTAAAAAAAATGGTTATAAAGAAATTAGAGCTAAAACACATGTTATTATAATTAGTTATATATTTTAAATAGTTAGTTGATTTACTTTTTTTTTTATAGTTGAGAAATATTTTGATAAAAAATATTGTATATCAAATTATTGAAATAACAAATAATCTAACCATGAAATAGCATAATATTTTTTACTAGTTTTTTTCTATGTCTCAACCTTCTTTTACACTCTCCATGCCGAATTTTATGTCTAACACAAGATTTTAGTTAAAAAGTTGTAATTACGTGTTTTATCAAAGATGCCACCCACTTTTATCTTCGCTAACTGACTAAGCATATCTACGTGCCAGCCACAATACGTGTCTTACCAAATTGTTAAAGAATAACTATAAAACTATATACATAATTAGAATAATGCATGCACACACCATGCATTATCTATACACCACGTAACAATTTCTTTTTATACCTATAAAAACATTACACAAATTTGCATTCTCCAGACAATTTATTGATCAGATTCACCAAAAGACACATACATGGCTGAGCTCACAGAATTGTTCCCCTTAGGTCAACATTTTGATGGCTTGATGCACATGTATGTGTATGTCATCACTTTTGATCTTCCAACTCTGGCCACTGTTCTATTCATACTCACATTGTTGTTCTTTATCCTGCACCAAATTCTCAATGGGTTGTTCTTCTGGGTACTAGAAATGAGACCAAATGAACATGATCTTGAAGAGGGCATCACTCATTTGGCCAATTATGGAGAGCCCTCTAACCAATTTACCATTTTTCATGCGCATACCAATTTGCATGCTTGGACATTGGCGACTGCATTTGAAGGAGTTTTTGATGCCAAAAGAGGACAAAATCTTAGAGCATCCAAGAAGTTGCCCCCCTTGGTGAGTTACGGAATGCATGGTCTATCAAGAAGTTGTGAGGAATGTTCCATTTGTTTGGAAGAATTTCAAGTTGGTCAATTATGTCAAGTTTTACCTACGTGTAAACACATTTTTCATTCGGATTGCATACATCACTGGTTGCAGAAGAAGTTAAATTGTCCATTATGTCGTAGTTGTATATAGATAATTTATATTTGTGAAAATTGTGTATAATTGTATATACTTATATAAATCAAGTTGAATAAAATTAATTTTGGTATTAAACTTTGTCATGCTTCCCCATTTAGCAAATTTAGAGATTATAGCTTCAAATTTTATTTTTATTAGAAAAAAAAATCAAATTGAAAAGGTTACGTTAATTTTCAAGCATAGCATATGTTAAAATGAAGGAGATTTGGGATTGTACGTAGTTAGAATAACACAAATCTTTACATAATTAAATGATTATCACAGGAGAATTGAAAATTAACATATACTATTTGAAAATTTAATATCTAAATTGTTGGATGAAGATTATTATTTTTCATTTGTACTAAATTTATATCTAAATATAGGAATCCTAATTTAATATTGCCACAGTAAATATTATGTCATAACTATGTGAAAAGTTGTGCATTGAAGGATACGTAATCAAAACTCTACTAAAATCCTGGCACTTTGCCAGGTAATATTTTTCTAACAGGCATCTATGTTTGGTGTTTACAAACAAATCCAATATGTTATATTCAAATTATTCATCTTCTTTTCTCAATAAAACTCAATAGACTTGACATTTAACCCATAAGCTACGATTTTCATAAAAATAAGAAGTTATCTCTCAAATCATGAACATGATTACTATTTCTCAAGCATTTTCCCCCCAAACGGACCATCTTAGCTTTTCTTATTTTATTATCAATGCTTATAATGTGATTATGATTTTGTTCCTCTGTCTTTCTGCAGCCACTATATTTTCAACAACAATTATTCTTCTTTTATTGAAAATATGTGAAATTATATATGATATTCTTCTTGAAACACTTGAGGAGGAGGATGGAGAAGGAAGAATAACTTTGGTCGTCGAGTCTTTTTTTACTTACCAATATCCTCTATATCAAATGAGCGATAACAGGGGAAGATTACAATCATATTTACAAATTTCTGAAAAGAGATCAATTCATAAAGGGTCATCAATGAAACTGCCACAACTTGTGATTTATGGGCAAGATCAAGATGAATTGAGTCCATTTTGTAGCAATTGTGTGATATGTTTGGACAACTTCATCACTGGGGAGTCTTGTCAAATTCTCTCACCTTGCAATCACTTATTTCATTCTAATTGTATAAAGTTTTGGTTGAAAGACAATGTTACTTGTCCTGTTTGTCGAAATTGTTTATTAGAAATATGATGACATGTAAAGTGGATGATGCAAGTTTCATGACAATTTGATAATATAATTAAAATTACTTATTTCTTTTTATTCATTTGAAGATTTTTGTCATTTTATATATTCCCTTTGTAAATACCCATTAAGTTTTATTCACTCATCTTATTGCCTATCAATAGTGTGAAAATAAACAAAAATAAAACCAAACTAACTTTAGAACCATATTGTACTAAAGGAAAAATTCCAACTATTTTCAAGAAAAAACGAAACTACAATGAAAATATATACTTAGTTCAAATTATTTTGATAAGATTATTTTTCAACATGAACTACTTCATTAATTTAAAATTATAATTTATGGTCCTTGTATCATCCTTTATCAACAAATATTTAATTTTACTCTCTTTTTAGGAATTTCAAGCCATTTACATCTAAAAATGTATTTTTTTAAGAAATTATTTATTGTGTAAGAAATAAATCTTAACTTGAAAGAACTAAGTATGTCACATAGATTGATTCTGATGGAAGATTTAGTGAAAAAATAATTTCTTAAATTTAAGAAATCAATAAGATCTTATTGATAAAGATGTTCTAATATGATTATGTTTGACTCATTAAAAATTTGAACCATACATGAGTATCAAATAAATGCTTGAATCAAATTGAACAAAATAACTAAACCAAAACAAATTTGAAACACTTAATGAAAACATTGAATTTGAAATAAATTCTCTTATAAAATAGTTCAATATTTGGATTTGGGCTGGAAAAAAAATTCTCACTCTTATTGTCAAATGACATGTGAAGGACTTTGATAATCAACATTGTTTGAATAAAATGAATTATAAAGTGGATTATCTTGTTAAGAACTCGGAAGGATTTGTAATGTAATGCGATATTACATTCTAATATGGCCTAACCGACAAGGTGATGTAAACAATTTTGTTAATAATGAATGAGAAATTAAGTGACAAAACTCAAATTAAACAAGTTTTACCGCAGATAAAGAATAAAAATCTCACATTAGAGACAACAACAAATTAATTTTCTTTGTTTTAATGTTCTTCTAGCTAAATATCAATGTATTTTGTCCTTAACTTATGTCAGCATAATCTATATGAACTTTTCTTTTATATATCTAACACAAATATATCTTATTCTCATGTTAATATTGACGTGGGTGTTCCATTCTCTCATAACATGACTTTTCTCACCTAAGGTCGAAAATGTTGATAAATATATTTTATTCATATATTTATTTATATACTTTGCATATAATTATCTGATTTAATTATTAGTTATTTATTATTAACATTATTTTAGTAAATTATAGTTTAATAGATCTTTAGTTAATTGTTAATTAAATTATATATTTTACTTTATATTTATATATTGATGGAGGAATAATAAGTTAAAAAAAATTTATGACTTTGATTTAAGTATTTCGCTAAGTGACTATTGGACAATAAACACATTCCTGATTTGATTTGTCCATTTAATGAATAAAGATTCTGCTAAGCAAAATATTGGTTTTAATTATATTGTTGTATATGTATTTTTTTTAAATATATATAAAATACTAAGAGATAAATTGAGATATGATTTTAAATGTTTTATTTGAGATTATTATTTATGGATATTTTTTAATGATAAAATTATTAGAAGATGTAAACCGATAATGAAATATCCTTTATTTAAAAATTTTGTCATTCTTCATCGTTCGGTCTTCAAAGAATTGTTAGAAAAATTCTTGATACAAAGTTTTATTACCCGTCTATATATAAAGATTCGTGACAATGTTGTAAATCATGTGAAATAAGTAAAAAGAAATGTGATAATATACCATACAAATATCAAATGCCTCATCAACCATTGTATTGTTTGAAATATTTTATGTATGGGGTATGAACTTCATGGGTCCTTTTTCCCATCTTTTGATTTTAATTATATTTTACTTATTATTATTGTAAATCTAAATGGGTGGAAACAAATGTCACAAGAAGAAATGATGCTAAATTTGTTATAAATTTTGTAAAATTTAATTTACATAAATTTGTTGTAAATTTTGTAAAATCTAATTTATTTTGTAAATTTGGGATTCCAAGAACTATAATTAGTTATCAAGGAATCATTTTTTTAAATAGATCTTTCCCACTACAAGAAAAAACACATTTAGCCACTGAAATTAGCGACCGATTTAGCGACTGATTTAATTTTGGTCACAATTAGCGACCGATTTAATTCGGTCGCAATTAGCAACCAATTTAGCGACCACTTTAATTCGGTCGCAATTAGCGACCGATTTAGCGACCAAATTAATTCGGTCGCAATTTAGCGACCGAATTAGCCACCAAAATATGATTTGGTTTCACTTTTTTATTTAGCGACCGAAATAGCGACCAATATTTTGTGTCGCAAAATTTCGAGTCGCTAAATCGGTGGCTATTCCATACTAAAATAAAAAAATCATTTAGCGAATCGATTTAGCGACCGAATTACAAATTGAAATAGTGACCGAATTAAAATCAAGTGGCCAATGAGAAAATAGCGACCGAATTGAAATCGGTCGCTAATGAATATTATTTTTTTATTATATTTAAATTTATTTTTTTATAAATATACTTTAATTATTTTAGTATATTTTTTACAATTTATTTTTTAAAAGTAATTTATTTTTTAAAAATAATTTAATTTTTAAAATATACTTTAAAAATAAACTTTGATCTCAATATTAACAAAATGAATTGTAATAAATCAAATTTATTAAAAATTTAAATTGTAATAAATTAAGACTAGAGTGATATTAACTATTCAATACATTATTTAAGAAAAGTTTAATAACAAATATTCTTTAATTTATTTTTCAATTGAAAATTTCAATTGAAATTAAATTATATTTTAAAATTTTATATTAAAAAAATTAAACACATCAAATTATCACATTTTAATTCCTCATTAACTTAATTAATTAAAAAAATACAATTTTAATCAAATTATTACAATTTTATTTTATAATACTTTATTTTTAATCTAATTTTTAAATTTATTGCTTTATTATTATTAATTACTTAATCATGATTGTTGTCATATAATTGATATACCAAAAAAAATTTATATCAATATACATTTGATAATAAATATATTATTTAATTAAACTATTTATAAAAATATATTTATCTTTAGTTAAAATATTTTTTAGTTTAAGTATACTAATTAATATTTTTTATTTTTAACATAATTAATAAAAAAGATCAAAATTTTAAAATTAATCTATTTTATAAATACTAAAAATAAACCATATTTAAATAAATGAAAAATATATTTAAATTTATATTCAACATAGTTAAGGTTGTGCCTTTTTAAAATTTATATTCAACATATATTTAAATTTATATTAAAAATAGTTAATATAAATTAAGGTTGTGCCTTTTTAAAATTTTAACTTTTTTATATATTGGATTTTCATTAAAAAATTTCTAAAATTGCATAAGAAAATAGAGATTTAATTATACTTTTAATAAATTTAAGATAATACTAGTTTTTATTTTTATTTTTAAATATTTATTTTAATTTTTTTAAAAGAGAGAAACTATAATTTTAGTTTCTAAATACTAAATTTAAAGAATTAAATTTATTATTATTTAATATTTTAATTTTAGTATTAAAAATCTAAATTATATTTTATTAAATTAAAATAATTACAATATATTTTTCTACTTTGAAAATTAAAAATATAATTAAACTAAAACTGAAAATATTATAATACATTTTTGAATTCTTTTTTATAATATTTTTATCATTATTATATTTTTGGATTAATTATTTTTTTCCTCATTTTTTATAAAGTCAATTTTAATATTTAAAAGTATTTAACATTTTGAATTTTGAAACTTTTTCTCTATTAACAAATTTAAAAACATAATATACTAAAAAAGTATTATAAATAATTATTTCATTCAATAATTATATAATTAAAACATAGAATTTAATTATTTTTATAAAAAAGAGATTTAATTATACTTTTAATAAATAATTATAACTATAAAATTAATGATATATAATAATTAAAAGTAATTATAAATAATTATATATAAAAGTAATTAAAAGTATAATTAAAAGTATAATTATAACTATAATTAAAAGTATAATTAAAAGTATAATAAATAATTATAGTAAATAATTATAATTAAAAGTATAATTAAATCTCTATTTTTATTAAAATAATTATAATAATTTAATCAAAATAATTATAAATACTTTTTTATAAAAATTATTTAATTATAGTATTTAATTAAATATAATTAAAAATATTTCATCCAATATTTAGTATTTAGAAACTAAAATTATAGTTTCTCTGCTTTAAAAAAATTAAAATAAATATTTAAAAATAAAAATCAAAACTAGTATTATCTTAAATTTATTAAAAGTATAATTAAATCTCTATTTTCTTCAATTTTTCTTTTTTTAACTTCTCAATTCTGCATTTTTGTCAATTCCATCATTATATTATCATCCTCATCTCCTCACATCTTCTACTTTATGTTTACAATAATTAATATTCTTAAGTAATTTATATTTTTATTTATAATTTTTTAATATATATTTGAGAAATTAATCAATTATAATCTATTATTTGAAAAACTAATCAATTCTAATCAATTATTTATAAAACTAATTGATTATAATTAATTATTTGAAAAAATTATCCAATATGATCGGTTATTTGAAAATTTAATCGATCATAATGGTTGTATATGATAGCGGTTCCACTTGAACTGCTCTTAAAACATAACATCTAATAGCAGTTAAACCTTAACCGCTATCTAAAATATAGTTTAGATAGCAGTTAATGTGGAACCGCTATTATATAGTTTCAAATATGATCGCCCATTTGAAAATTTAATCGATCATCATCAAAACTTACATTAACTATTTTCTTGAATATTATGTTTTTAAATTTGGTAATACAGAAAACGTTTCAGAAATCAAAATTTTAAATACTTTTAAATATTAAAATTGACTTTATAAAAA